GGCAGAGGCCCCACGTGGGAACCGGAGGGGCACCCACGGGCATCGGCAGCCCAGGGACGAGCCGGGACATGGACACTGGACCCAGGCCTATCCCCAAACGCCATGAGGTCAGGAGGCCTGCACAGTTATCTCCTGTACTTTCCGAATTTGTTTGTTAATTTTTTAAGAAATAAGATTTAAAACTGAACCTAAGAAAACAAATGCAGATGAACAGGGATGTCTACCAATCACAGTAAATGAAAACAGTCAAATATCACAGACTATTTCATGCCGTCACCATCTTTCCCCCGTTCCACCTTTCCATAAAGATGCCACATGACTATATAATATAAGGATAATATGCAAATGGACCCTAATGGCAGAACGACCACTCAACCAGTCACTATGAGACACACTGACCACCTCTTGGTCCCTTTCCCCGGCTGGCAGGCTCCCATTGCCTGATGGCAAATGGGGAACTGGGAGTGTGTGGTGGGAAATGCAGGGGGCACCAGGCCAAGGCCCCCACCCCGCCGGTTGCCCCATACACAGAGGGTGACCTGAGGCGGGGGCGGGGCCAGCGAGCAGGCAGGACGGTCAACCTCTCAGTCCCTCCCCGCAGCCGTCTGGGGAAGATGGCCCTGATCGCAGGCCAGGCCCAGGGGCTGTACCCACACGAATTTCGTGTGCCAGGCCTCTAGTAGTAATAAAAGCAGGTATGCGTGCACCGGCCTTCAGAGCTTATGGAGATCACTACTCCCTTTTACAGGCGGGAAAACAGGTTCAGGAGTTCCCACGCCTTCCTCAGGTGTGCACGGTGAACCACCTGAGGGCCGGGAGCTGAGCCCCTGCCATGCCCCTACCTCCCCAATCTTTCCCTGAGGTGAACGAGGGACTACCATCATCGTCACAAAAATCACATTAATAACTGGAATTACCACACCACCACCACCACCACCACCGACATCATCATCACAAAATTCACCATCACATCACCATCACAAAAATAACCCCCAGCATTATTGTTTAATATATTTTTATTGATTTCAGAGAGAGGAAGGGAGAGGGAGAGATAGAAACATCAACGATGAGAGAGAATCATCGATCAGCTGCCTCCTGCACACCCCATACTGGGATCAAGCCCAAACCTGGGCATGTGCCCTTGACCGGGAATCAAACCGTGACCTCCTGGTTCATAGGGTGATGCTCAACCCCTGAGCCATGCCAGCTGGACTAACCACCATCATTATTAATAACCATCATTACCACACCACGGCCACCACCATCACCACCGTCACCATCACAAGAGAGAAAACGCTCCGCTGAGCGCTGAAGAAGCAGCCCACACCGCGCCACTTGGCAGGTGCCAGGCAAAGGCGATGGCGCCCAGAACCTGGTTCTCGTACTCCGGGTTCTGGAAGCTTGCGGGGAGCGTGCCACTCTCCCAGGCCCAGGAATGGAGCTTCAGGCTCCACAGGGCAGGGTGGCACGGTGCCTGCTGGCAGAGGGAGCTCCAGGGAGAGCCAGGGGCAGGCTCTGGGGTCCCTGAGCGAAGGTCCAATCAGGGCCTGGGTCTCCACGAAGCCTGAAAACACTGCAGTTGAGTGTAAACAGTCCCCTGAGAGTTAAAAACCACATGTGAAGAGCGATAAGTAGCAATTGCGTCAATGAAAGTCCTCGACATGTATGCCAGTTATATGTAAACCTCACTCCATAATCCCCAGGGCGTGTAGGGTGGCGGCCTAACCGGACCACCCAGGGGTCCGGGCTCCTGTCACTCACTACCTGAGCCATCCTGCCGGCAGGAGGGGGAGCAGCAGGTCAGCCACACAAACCCGCTCTGCCCCTCCCCGTAAGCCAGGGGTCAAAGGGCAAAGATTACGTGGGGAAGTAAGAGTTACAGGCAGGGAAAGCAGGCAGGTGTAATGGTTACGGGCAACAGGGCTGGGGGGCGGGAGGTGTAAATCTTCCCAGGATGGGCAGCTCTCCGGTGTGAGCTCCCGTGGCCCAGGGCGTGGGACTCCAGCCGGGTGAGAAGGCGCTTTCTCTAGACGAACAGAGCCACCCCGGGGCCGGAGCAGGATGGCTATTTCCTGGAATCGTAGCTGGCCCCCACCATCCTATTTCTGCCCCAACAGTGGGATGGTTTACCTTGTTCTTTTTCATGTAAAGTTTTCATTTTTAAGAAAAATCGCGCACTGTGGCCTCCTCTGTGATTTCCTTCCAGGGTCTCAGGGTCCCCGCTGAGCCACCGGGACGCGGGCTCCGCCAGAAGAGGGGCAGACAGCGTCCCAGGGGCGGCCCGGGATGTCAGACGCCTGCTGAGCGACAGCAAATGTCAGAAAAGTCACTGCAAAACCAGTCCGCTCCCCGGGGAAATGCCCTACGCGCGGGGTGTGAGAGGCACCGGCAGTCTGCGCTGCGGTCGCCCTTCGGCCGCACAGGACTCACTGCTCGGGTGTTGCCGTCGGCGGCTTCACAGCTTTTAAATCTTGACACGCACAAGCCCCGTCTTTAAGGACGTAACATCACAGTAACTCTGTCACATCTGGTTTCCCAGCACATCCTCCGTGCCCACTGCACACTCACTGAAGTGCAACCGGTGCCGCTCCGTGTCAGACGCCGCCAGCGCCGCCAGCACCTCACTGCGCTGAGTCTGCTCCCCACAAGCAGCAGCGCCCGGGGCGGCCAGCCCGGCCCTGAGTGCTGTCCGCCTCCGCCCACATGTGGGGTCACTCCTCCTCACCCGGATGTGCCAAGACGCTAAGTAAGTAACCTGGAAATCACACCAAAGTAGGAAGGGGTCCACAGGGGGTAGCTGGATCGAGAGTTATGATGTTATCATCATCCTCACCACCGCCACAGCCCCAACAACCACCATCACCTTTCTCTCCACCATCACCACCACCACCACCACCACCACCACCATCATCATCACCATCACCACCACCATCACCACCACCACCATCGCCACCACCACCACCACCATCACTATCACCACCACCCTTGCCACCACCATTACTGCCACAATACAATCCAGATGAACCCAGAGGTGCCTTTCTGGAGGGAAAGGAGCTGGCCCGGCCTTGAATGAGCAGGACCTCATTTCAGAGAAAAGAACACCCGGGGGGAGAGCGCCGAGGGCAGGCCGGTGGCCGGGCGTTTAGCACGTCGGGGGACGGGGACGGTCAGCAGTTCCGGGCAGGAGATGAGGCTGAAGCACGGACCCAAGGCCGGGTAATGAAAGACCTGTCTGGCAACCGCACAGAACTTTTAAATCTTCCTCAAGCCGCTGGCTTCCAGACTGCGCTCCCTGGAGCCCCTGGCGCCTCCCACTGGCCAGTGCTCCTGCAGCTGTGGACAGAGCGGGGCTGCGTGCGGGGTGGGGTGGGGGGGCAGCCCCCCCACCCAGCTTCAAGCACAGGGCGGCCCTGTGTGACTCAGACGTAGGCTCAGACCTAGGCTCAGACCTAGGCGAGAGGCTAGGAGAGTGTCTGCCGCACGCAGTGGGCAGGCGGGAATGGGGGAGGGGGAGATCGTTTTTAACCCCAGAAGTAATAAGGGGCGAAACTTCAGAAAAATAACCTGGTAACAGAGTGGCAGACAGGCCCTGGAGGGGGAGAGAGCAGCCAGGCAGCAGCCGGGACTTTCCAAGGGAAAGCTGCTGAAGGTGGCTGAATCCCGGCGGAAACAGCGAGAAACAGGAGGGGAAATGGAGGGGGGAGGGATCGGAGCCGAGGCCAGCGGGGCGCCAGGGAGGGACCCACTCCTCTGAGCCCCCACGGGGCCCCCCGGCGCTGCGCTGAGCCCCCGGCGCCCCTCTCTAGCTCATGCTCCCGGCTCCACCGGGCAAACGCTCACATTGTCTCCACCTCACGGGGAGCCACCGGAGGCGTGAGGATGGCGGACTCACTCGATGTCACAGACTAGCCAGGACCAGAGGTGGGAGCTGAGAGCGGAGAGCACAGACTTGTGCAGAGTCGGGGCTTAGAGCAAAAACCTCCCGGTCCCCTGGGCTCCGTGCACGGAGAGCTGCCACCCCAGGCGCCCATACAACTGCTCCCCATGGTGACGGGAGAGCAGACATCGAGGGCACGGGTCTTCCTTCTGTGGGGCGCCCTCCAACTCTCTCCCTCCCTCTCTCTTTCTCTCTCTCAATCCCTCCCCAGCCCAGGGCTCTTCCCCTGGCCGCAGGGCACGGGGCTGTATGCACCCCCAGAGGCGCACACTTCCACTGGCCTTCTGCGTGCCCATAGCATCGTCCTCACTCCTGAACGAGAGCAAAGCAGGTGAGACCACGGCTGGCCGGTTTTCAAACTGCATTCGCAAACCCTCGTCAGATTCTCCACTTCCGGTGAGCCAGGCACAGCAACAAGTGGTGCCCCCAGATTTTCTGGGGTGTCCTGGTTCCCGGTACTCAAGTCAGACGACAGGCCACCCTACTGCTCCCAGCGGAGCCCGGACGGCAGTTTCCGGGCTGTAGGAGCGGGTGGGCGGTGACCGCCTGGCCTGAGTTACCATCGAGCGCCACCACCTATCTGACCCCAAACCACAGTCCGAGGTGGGCGTGACTGGCTTCCATCGGCAGGTGTAGTGGGCTGAACCGTGTGTCCCCCCGAAATTCAAGTTCACCCCAAACCTCAGAATGTGGCCCTATTTGGAAATTGGGTCTTTGCAGCTGTAATTAAGTTGAGGTCACACTGGATTAGGGGGCCCTTCATCCAGTGACAGGGGTCCTGATAAACGACACACGCGGGAGATCCCGTGAAGATGGAGGCAGAGCCTGGACCATGCGGCCACAACCCAGGAGCCCCTGGTGCCTCCAGGGGCTGGAGGGGGCAGGAAGGACCCGCCCCTGGAGGGAGTCCAGCCCTGTGGAGCCCCGACTTTGGACTCCTCGCCTGTATAGTGTGAGAGGATGAAGTTCCATTGTTTGCGTGAAGCACGGAGTGTGTGGTCACGGTCCCGCAGGCAGGGAGCACACACAGCAGACACGGCGGTGAGATGAGCAGGGAAGTACCCAGCGGCAGGTGCTGGGCTGAAGGCCCCTGGCCCCGGGGCCTCTCTCCTCTCCCTCAGACCCTGCCGAGTGCTCCTCCTAGAACATTCCCCAGGCCCCACAGGCTGCTGACTGCCACGAAAGATGTGCAAACGTCCCTACTTCCAAATGAGTGCAGGAAAGGAGTCCAGGTGAAAATACCCAAACCCCGGGAGCGCTGGGGACAGAACCCGCACAGGATGGCTCGGCACAGGCCGCGCCGGGGTTGGAACTCCCGGGGGGCCGCCCGCCCTCAGGCCCGGCCTGGGTCCCTTCCAGCTGGTCCCCGCGCCAGCCACCAGCCAGCAAGGTCCGTGCTCCCCGCGTCTGTCTTTTTCACAAACAAAGCCGGGGAGATGCAAACAGCCTTGGGAAGGCGCGCAGCCTCCCTCCGGTCCGAGCGGGGATGAATTACTGTGCGCGCCCAGCTGCACCGGGATGTAATAAAATGTGTTGCTAAGATACAAGCGCCCGGGAAGTTCATTAAAGGACACTTTACACCGCTGCCAGCGCGCCTCCCCGTAAAGGCCGCTGATTGGGCGCCGTCGGTTTATAATTAGATCCACGATATGAAGGCGCGGCCCCATTCACACGGCGCGGGGAACTCGCTAATAAAGTAACTTCGGCGCCGACTCCGCCCCGGGCAGCGGTGGGCCTGCGCTCCTTACGGGACTAGATTCCAGCTCCACCTGCTTCTCTAAGGAGAGGGCCGCTCTGGGAGAACCTCCGGCCCGCACAGGAGCGGCTGTTCCCCAGGAGGTGGGCCTGGGGCAGGCACGCTGGCCCCCGCACAGCGGACGCTCGTCTATGGGCCCTGCGCCTTCACTCGCGTTTACCTACCACCTGGCTCTCCCGAGTCTCCTACGGGCCTGGTGCTGGGTGTGTAGGCATCACGGAGCCGGCGGGTGAATGAGGGTGAATGGGGGACTAGACTACAACCCATAGGACAGAGCCCCGAGGGCACGGAGAGGGTCATGGGGGGGTGGGCACGGAGCCCACACGTGGGACCTGGCCCGCAGTTCCTTCGGCCGAAGGTCTTTGAGCCCCGCCCACAGCTGGGCCTCGGGAGCAGCCACAGGCGCTGGTTCTGGCTTCTCTGCAAAACTCTATGGAGCGGCCGACAGGGGTGGGGGGAGGTGGGGCTCGCGGCAGCTGGGAGCTTGCCGTCTGGTTCTAGTCATCTCAGACTGTAAGCAGGGGGGCAGAAGCCTCGGTCTCGGCGTTTCTGAACCACAGACTCAGCTCCCCGAGAACCTGCTGGTCTCCCCTCGCACCAGCCAGGGCGCCGCCTCTCCTCCCCCCATCGGGCGGGTTTGACGGACATCGGGGAACCCTGACCGAGCTGAAGTCAGCCTTCTGGTAAGTTCCAGCTTCTAGTCAAAATCCTGCCCCTCTTATCCAATACGCCAGGGGGCCCTGAAAGGCAGGGGTCAGTCATGCGGGAGAGGACAGCCCCCCAATCCCTGCCGACAGCAGGCCTCCCCTCACTCTCCCGGGCACTGGAGGCGCCAGGCCCCGCCACAGGGCCTTTGCACAGGCTGTGCCCTGCCCTAGAACACTTCCCGCAGAGGGCACAGGGCTCACTCCTCCGCCCCTGCAGTGCTGCCTTCTCAATGAGGCCCTGGACCATTCATTTAAAATACCCACTGCTCCCCCTCCCCCACTCCCGATCCTGCTCTACTTCTCATCAGAACACTCACTCCGGAATTCATTTATGTTTATCTATCACCTCTCTCTCTGAGACCGGCCATGTCTCAGGAGCCTGTCCCGTCCACTGCGGTGCCCCAGCGCCCTGTACTGGCTGGCCCCAAGCAGGCACCCAGGAGGCACGTGCTGGACGGCACGACTCCATAATGAGCGGTGATCACCGGCGCCATCGCCATCTGAGCGCCGCCTTCTGGACACACGCCCGCTGTCAGGCCAGTGGGCACACAGGGGAGATACGCACAAGGGCCTGAGCCACAGGGAGCTCTGCCCCTGCTCCCATCCTGTCCCCTACGCTGAGCACGCGGCCCCCCCATCCCAGCTCCGGCTCCTCGCGGCCTCCCCGCCATGGGCCCACGTCCAGCGCCTGCAGCCGGAACGGCGTCCGGGCCCCGTGGCTCTGTCCACACTGACACTGGTGATTCCGTGTTGCCACCTCTCCTGTCGCACCAGGACCAGCCCTTGGAGGGACCTCTTGAGCACGTGTCCCCGGGCAGGGGCAGCCAGGGGGCAGCCGGTGGCAGCCGGGAGCAGGCCGCTGGTGAGGTGTATGAGAACTGCTTCCGCGGGGCTGCCGGCAGGGACCTGGAGAGGTGGCAGGGACCTGGGAAGGCAGCAGGGACCTGGGGAGGCGGAGCCAGGCATCCCGCGTGTCTGCGGAGCCCTGATCGCCACGAGACCTTCATCACGTTCATTACGGAGTCGCGCAGCACCGGCTGCAGGAAACGCTGCTTGTCATGTAGCCTGCACCTCGCGTTAACTTCTGGATCACGGTCTCGCACATGTATTTATTTTTAATTGCATTTTCAAGTTCATTTACATGCGCAGATTGGCTTTCTGCCTGAATGGCATCAAAGGGAAACACAGCCCCATCCCTGCCCTTTTCTCTTTCCTGGCACGGAAAGCCTCTCCCAAACTGATGACAGCATCGTCACTGCAGACAGCCCGCTGGCGCCCCCACCCCCCCCAAGAACCCCCTCTGCTGCTTCAAGTAACTTTCTGCTGCCTCCAGGCAGGCGACTAAAAGCATCATTACTTCTCCTAAAGATGCCCCACCCCATACCATCTCTCAGCACCCTTCCTGTTTGGGAGGGTGACTCATCTGCCCACGTGGCGACTCCGAGAGCAGAGCCTCGTGCTGCCGGGGGAGGGGGGGGGGCACACGGCCCGTCCTTCCCCAGCGTCCTCGTGAGGGGACACAGTTCTGCGCCCTCCAATGCTGCCTGTCCCCTCCCGTCACATCAGAAGTCCTGGCCCCAACAGCCTCCCAGCCGCTCAGAAACCCCTGGGGGCCCCAGGGTCCTTCCCTGGTGGCCCTGCTGCCACAGGAGGGCAGCTCATGCAGGACCGCAGCACCTCCCATGCAGGGCACACCCTCTCGGGCAAGTAGCTTCTGAAAACAATCTCCTGTGGACAGAATTTAGCAAATAAACAGGCTTGAGGGGCTGTGGGTGGGGTCGGACCAAATCCAGGCTCCTGGCTCCCCTGGGCGCCGTGGCATCCACACTCAGGGCCGAGCATTCCGCGTGTAGAAGGGAGCTTGACGGACGTGCCCTGCCAAGACCCCTCGCCTCTCACGTCCTGTCCTTTAGGTCATCGGGTCACGTCTGGGGGACACAGGCCCTCGTGTCCACCGAAGCCCAAGTTTTGGGCCTGATCCTGGCTGTCCACAGAGACCAGAGCAACTGGAAGCTGCAGTCGGGACAAAAGCCACAGGTGCCCGCCCACTCCTCCAGGTGACAATGGCTCTGGGCACCCCGGTTTTCTACATCTCGGATTCCTGTCAATAAAGCAATGTTGGTAACAGCTCCCTCCCACGCGGCTGCCCGGCTGGGCGTCGGGAATCAGCTGGCAGGTGCGCCTGGGTCCTCACAAACCCTCGGGCCCCGCAGCCTGAGAAGCGGCGTTCTCCACTGAGATAAGGACCAGCCACCTGCCCTCCTACCTCACGGGGCTGAGGGTGCCCCTCGAACCTGGACAAAATATTAACCGCCCCTCCCCCCCCCCAGGGATATACTTCCTTCTGCTGCCTTTTAACCAGACCACCAGGCGCCAAGCAAAAAACCCAGTGCGGCCTGCTGACACTCCCTGGGATGCCCGCCTCTGAGACGGCTCAGGACCCCCGCACCTGAGACCCGGGGACACAGGCTGCGACCAGGAGCTGCACCAGCAATGTCTCCCGCACCCGGAAACTGCTGGGCCGAGCAGCAAGGAACTGCCCGTACAGAACGTCGTAAGGAAGCACGTTTGCTCCTCTGGAGAGCAGAGGCCATTTCAACATGAGAAGATGCCTCCACCTTAAAGTGTGAAATAACAGAGGTAAGAAGAAGAAAAGCGGCAACCCCACCAGCGGGGGCTCGGCCGAGGTGGGCAAGAGGAGCGGAGGGAGGGGGAGGCGGATCCGGGGGCT